TGCGCCATTCAGAGGGTATACATTTACGAGACGAATTAAGAGTCAGGCAAAGGACATAGCTACAAAACTACATGAGAAGGAGAAATTATAAGTCTGGATTTTTCTAAGCCAACTGAATGCGAGTTACGAAATCTGCATAAACAGGAGTGATTGGGCGAGCGAAGTGTCTCGAAGGCGCGCGTTATTGTGTTAAGGGTTCGAAGAAATGAAGCCCGTGCGAATCTGATTACTGATGCCGGGCGGTCATATTTGATATTTAATCTCGGGTTTGGGATCTCACAGTACTAGTATGGTCAAGTCGATCGTCGATGACTGTTACGTCGGCCCCGAAGAGACCGGTAGCAGCCCTCAAACAGTCATAAGTGCCTTACGGCGGCTATTCAATTGAGACGGAAAGATACTTGTTGGATCAACATCGTTGATTTAATGGGCTGCATTCATAGGGGAACGGTATAGGCTCCAGGCTTCTACAGCGTCAACGAGTCTAACCCGTAACAGTGACAAACATGAAAGTCCACGACGGAAGGCTGAAGAAGCCACTGGATTGGACTGACCTCTGGGTACTTGCTGTTACGACCCCGCTCCTATGAATATTTACTTCTCATCAAGATGTCGTTGGGCTTGCAAAACCTTGTCTTTCCTGCCTTCCCTTGCACAAGATGGTCTGGTGCCTGCATTGATCATGTTCATCCCCGAGAACCTGCATCCCACTAATCGTAGGCTGTACAAGAAATGGCCTGCTCTTTCAAGTCTGCAGTTTCGTTGAATGCAAGAACTCATTTAGTGACGCGTTGGCTTAACACAACTTGCCTACGCCGTGATCTGGCATGTGAGCACACACTGTCCGGTTGCGCGTCCACCGCAACGCGTGCGTGATTTTAAAGATACTCCGTGAAGGGTTTAGGTATCTGCGTACAATTATCAAAAGCCGTTGCCAAAAGTTGTCTCAAGCACGAAGTCGTGGAGGCTTGCGCGGCCCTCCGTGCTGAGAAGCATCCCCAGTGACGCATTGCTGCTACGCCCTTGCTGCAAACCACCGGTGGTGCGCACATGATATCATGATGAAGAAATTTTAGGCAACAGAATGCCGAATGAAGCAGGTGAACGGGGTGAGGGGTTCAGGTTTTACCAAAAGGTCAGTTCAACGAGGGCGTCATTCTCGGCGCCGTGATCCTTCAGTGGCTGAGCATTACGAATGAACCACTAGCCTCTCAGTGTTGCGACATGCCAGCCTGAAACTCATGATACCGGACGAATTGCAGAAGCTCAATAACCACTTCATGTTGCGCGATATATTGCTGGAAAGGTGGATGAACATAAGGTGAACGACATTGATGGCTTGAGAAGCACGAGCTAGAACGGCGCCAGTGGGATCAACACCAACAACAACACCCTTGACAACTATATGAAACTTAACTCTCACTACAAAATCAGAATGCTCCTTTTAAGCTTTGTATTCGTCCTCGCGGTTGCAAGGGCAGTTCAAGTTCCCCAGCCACCCGGTTCTTACGGCGTTGCCATCGAGCATATCGAGCTCGTTGACCAAAATCGCATTGACCCGTTCGCGCCCGAGGCCAATACAACGCGCCGGTTCATGGCCTCAGTGTTTCTCCCAGTCGAATCAAAATATGGTTGCGAGTCGCAAGTAGTGCCGTACATGCCTCCTCTGACGGCCAGCGTCTTTGCGAGGCCTGCGGAGCTGCTCGGCTTACCGCAAGCGATGGTCTCGTCTTTTGAGATGGCATTCTGCAACATTTCGACAGTAGACCTGGATGCAACCGCCGAAAAAGAGATATTCCCTTTGGTTGTGTTCTCGCCTGGTCTGGGCGGTACAAGGTTCATGTATAGTGCGATGGCGAGGTCGCTGTCGAGTCTAGGTCATATTGTTGTGGTGCTCGACCACACCTACGAGACCGCGGTGGTGGAGTTCCCGGACGGAAGCGCTGCATTCTCATCTGATCCGGAGCTAGCAAATTCTACAGTCACTTTGGAAGGACTCGAGGTAATTCGCAGCCCAAAAGACCACTGCTACAGCGAGCGGACACACCGGGAACACAAAGGTTGACATGTCCAGGTCCGAACTGCTGATGAGGTTTTCCTCATCTCCCAACTCTCGAACAAGACGCTCACGGACTCCCTCTTTGGAAGATTTCCCGGCACCTTTGACCCCCACAGAATCGTCGTCTCGGGGCACTCGTTCGGCGGTGCCACCGCCGCGGCCGCCGCGCACCGCGACGCCCGCGTCGTCGGCGGCATCAATTTCGACGGCCCGATCCTCCCCCCGGTGGACGCAGAAGGCTTCGAGGGCAACCCGTTCGTGCTCGTGTCCCAATCCATCGGCAACGACTCGGCGCCGGTGCCGTTCTGGGAGGATTTTTACGGCAACCTCGAGGGCGCCAAGATGCAGTTGGCGCTGAGGAGCACCAAACACTACGCCTTTTCCGACATACCGCTGCTCCTGACGGCGTATCGGATCCCGACGGCGTCGCAGCCTCGGGTGGACGCCATATTTGGCACGCTGGACGGCAGGAGGGTTGAGGGTGCTATGAACGATATCACGGTCGGGGTGGTTGAATTGATGTTTCATGACCGAAGTGCGCCGCTGAGGAATGTGGGCAGGAACCATGATATTGCTGTCCTTCTCAGCAACCTCCCCGGTTGCCAGTAGCCGCAATGAAGGGTTGAGTAGGCTGAACTCAGAGACACGGAATTCATGATGTGTCTGGCTATCTCCATTTGATGGCTGTTCACTAGGATGCCGAATCTTGAGAAGAGGAGATATCAAGTTACCTCATTGCCCATATTGACATTGTCTGGCGGTCTGGTTGCACACCTCTTAAACATACATGGTGTTCCAAGTGGATCGTTGCCATTCGTTCAAGTTCGGATGAACCGTTGATGGGAGCACGATGCTGGCTGGGGTTCTGATATGATAGCGCCATGTATTTCTACGCTTCCATTGGATGAACTTGCACGCCCAACATGCGAGTCAGTCGCAGTCGGTCATGTAGCAGTGTCCATGTCAATGGACGCACAATAGATATTGTCGACCAACCTCCAAAGTACTAGGGGATTGGCGCACACGACGTATCAAGGCTCGCAGACGTCAAGGTACCATGTAGTATGAGATCTGTATATTCAGTCATCTCTAATTATGAACAGGCCCAGATCAGGGAGTGCATCGATACTCGTCGACCACAGTAGCCCTCCATCCAGTCACACATGTCCGTCTACCCATCCGGCGGTGTCATCGTCGTGACCATCGCATGCATCGTCATCATCGTGCACCGACTAGGCCTTCTTCGGCTGCGCGGCGACTCGGCCGCCGCGGGTGAGGAAGTGCAAGGTGGCGTAGAAGACGAGGGCGGCCTCGAGCGTAATGAAGCCGATGAGGATGCCGTTGAGAACGTTCTCCTCGTAGCCGAAGCAGAGACCGTCGAGGCGGTCGCGGAAGACGGGGAAGGCGCCAAAGGTGAGCATGACGAATTGGAAGCCGTAAAAGGTGAGCCAGTAGGGTCTGCGAGCTGTCAGTCTGGTTTCTCGCGCTGGACCGGGGCTGGCAGGACAGAAAGAAGAAGCACGCACGTTTGTTCACGGGTCAGCTTGGTCCACTGGGTCGTCTCGCCAATCTGGGACATTTGCACAGCGAAGAGGATTCCGCCGAGGCACCAGGTCCAGAGGAATCCCATGCGCTGCAGGGGCTCGAGCGTGTTGGCGATTTCGATGGCGCGGTTGGCCGCGTTCGTGAGGAGGGCGACGACCATTTTGACTGTGGCACCGGGGGCGGGGAAGGGTTGCAATGAGGGTAGTAGAAGGAGGTACTATCGAGAGTGTCGGTGGTAGATTGGCGCAAATGAGGGGTCGTTATGCGATGGCGACGATCAATTTGGCAGATGGTGCACGGTCGCAAGTCTCAGTCGCACCGCAGTCTGAGTCGAAGTCGCAGAGCTCCAGAACACGCCAGCCCTTCCACGCCGAGGCGACACGCGCGGCGGGGGCACTTTTATTCTTCAGCATCTGGAGCCTCGCAGATCGCGCTATTCTCTTATCGCATCACCAAACATCTCCACGTGTTCTTATCGAAGCGGGGAGCGTAATCTTGACAGGGCAGCGCTAACCCAGAAGGGGACGCGGGCCTATTGAGCCGAGCCCACTAAGCCGGATACAGCTTCGAGGGCCTGCCTGGGCTGTCGAGGGGCCTGCTGGGGCTGTCCCCTGAACGTCCCGCCAACCCGCCCAACCAGACACAGACCGAACCTCACCGGGCGGCCGCCAGGCACCAGGTCACACGCCAGCATTTTTCTCCGCTCCATCCTTCCCCAGACGCATCGGATCCAGGGTCCAGACTCCCGTCCTCTCGACTACTGTCCGACGGTCCCTTTGCCTAACCAACGGCCTATCCACCTGTCCGACGGATCCTGCCGCCGACGACAACAAGCATAATGTTCCCAGATCCTCTCGTTGTCCCGGCCCAACGGCAAGCCAATGCAGCGTCATCTGCTCCGTCAAACTTCGCTACCAACGATAAGCTCAAGGACCCTGGGCTACACCGATCTGGATCGTGTCTGATGCGCATCCGAGGTGGAATGGTTCGAGTTTAGCATGCCAGGCCCCTGGGGGGCACCCGGCTACTAATACTTCATCAACGCCCTCCATTCCCAAGACGCCTCACTGCTTCAGCGACGTCAGCCTGCTTTTGAGCGCAAACTGCCTCATCTCGCAAGTACTGCCTGTACCAAGCGCAAATCGGCTTCACTCGCCAATTCGGCCTCTCCCGCTGTCCCTTCTGGGCCTTGCCCGACATGAGTCAATACCCCTGCAAACTTGTCACGATGTCCCATCGTCGCCAAGGTTATCGTGGACTAGCTACCTCCTACTACGAATACTGATGCGAGCCTTGAATGTTCGCATTCAAGGATGGAAAACTAAAACGGTTACGAAATGGACACGCCCATCTGTCTGGAAACAGACGATCAGACAAATCGCAAGATCGACACCCAGCCGCCCATAAGAAACCCGTGAATCTGAACCTTCTCGACCAAACATCCCCGGTGGGGTCGACGCCCAAATGACTGTCCTACCAACATCGCCCAACTCCATAGCAGCCACCACACCACCGTGATGCGCCAAGACCGCCCCCTCATGGCCTCATCCCCACCAAGAGCATCGAGCCTGCGCCAACCCTGCAGATCCGGGACCAAGCGATAGCCCCAGTCGCTCGCCAGTCCCCGTTGAGTTCATACTCCGCCACCATCAGTCTACCAAAGCCGGCCGCCCTCCTCCGAGCCCCCCGAAAGCAGGATGACGGCCCATCGCCGCTCGGCTTGGCGATCGGCCACGCTCGAGGGGTCCGGCTCATCCGTCTCCGGGCTTGCCCCTTCTGGTCTGAATGCCCTCACGAAGAGTGGGCAAAGGCCATGTTAAATACCGTCCAGTGTGGGCGTCGACTGGTAGCGAGCATCTCTTGACTGCATCTTCGTAGCCAGGAGAACAGCCACCACTCTTCGAGACATCCTTCTCACCGTCGAAATGCGTTCCTCCATTCTCGCTCTGGCCCTGGCCCTCGCCGGCCAGCAGGTCGCTGCGCAGGTGCCTGCCGGCTTCGCCACGACCAAGGGCAACAAGTTCCAGGTCGACGGCAAGGATTTCATCTTCGCCGGTAGCAACGCCTACTACTGGCCCTTCAATGTGGTATGCAAGCCTCCAAGCTAGACTTGATCCATGGCTTTATAAGGTACTAATGAGCATCCCTAGTGGGGCACCGACCACTACTCGGACGTCGTCGTCGGCATGGACGCCGCTCTCGACGCTGGCCTCAAGGTCATCCGAACCTGGGCCTTCCACGACCAGAACGCCACGACCATCTCTGGTGGCCTGCCCCGCTACGGCACCGGAGGTGAGGCGACCATCTTCCAGAAGTTCAACGCCGATGGAACCGTCACCATCGACCTCAAGCTTCTCGACATTGTCGTCAAGGCTGCCGAGGACACTGGCATCAAGCTGATCCTGGCCCTCACCAACAACTGGGCCGACTACGGCGGCATGGATGTCTACACCGTCAACCGTGGCGGCCGCTACCATGACGATGTGAGTGCTGCCCCCTGGTTCTATGTGGTTCAATACTAATCTCCCCAGTTCTACCGTCTGCCCGCCATCAAGACGGCCTTCAAGAACTACGTCTCCACCGTCGTCGGCCGCTACAAGAACTCCCCGGCCATCTTTGCCTGGGAGGTGGCCAACGAGGCCCGCTGCGGCGCCGATGGCACCCGCAACCTGCCCCGCGGCCCGGCCTGCACGACCGACCTGATCATCGACTGGCTCGACGAGATGTCGACGTACATCAAGTCCATTGACGCCAACCATCTCGTGACCACTGGTACCGAGGGTCACTTCAACCGCGCCTCATCCGACTGGGCGTACAACGGCTCCGACGGCAACGACTTTGACGCCGAGCTCGAGCTCCCCAACGTCGACTTTGGCACCTTCCACTCGTACCCCGACTGGTGGTCCAAGACGCCCGCCTGGACCGACACTTGGATCGTCGACCACGCCGTCGCCGCCCGCGCCGCCGGCAAGCCCGTCATCCACGAGGAGTACGGCTGGCTCACGCCCTCGAAGCGCCAGGAGTACCTCGGCCAGACCAGCCCCTTCGGCCGCGTCGAGGTCCTCTCGCGTTGGCAGGACATTTCCCTGCGCGAGGAGATGCCCGACCTCTACTGGCAGTTTGGCTTTGGCGGCTACTCGTACGGCAAGAACCACGACGACGGCTTCACCATCTACCTCGAGGACGCCGAGGCCCAGCCCCTCGTCTTCCAGCACGCCGCCCGCGTCAACGCCCTCTACGGCAGCCCCCAGCCCACGACCACCGTCGCCCCGCCCGCGCCCACGACCACGAGCCGGCCCGCTACCACCAGCACGTCTAGGCCCGCTACCACCAGCACCTCCAGGCCTGCTACCACGACCAGCACCGTCGCCCCGCCCACCACCACCACGGCGCCCGCCGGCCCTACCCAGGTCCGCTGGGGCCAGTGCGGCGGCCAGGGCTGGACCGGCCCCAAGGTCTGCGCGGCGCCGTACACGTGCCAGGTGCAGAACGCTTGGTACTCGCAGTGCCTTTAAATGCTAGGCGGATTGGTATGGCCGTGCCCTGTTGTGATGATCCCAGGCATGGGCTGGGACGCGTGTACATAGGAACGTTATGCCTGTTCTAAAGATTCACCTGTATATATTGACCATCATCTTGGATAAACAACTGTTGCATTGATGTTGCATATGGGCCATGTGATCGAGCTACCAGTGAACGGGGACCCACCGATCACAGAGAGCACGCAGGCTGGATGTACCTGTCATGTGGCTCTGCGGTGCCACCTAGCAAGGGGGCAGATTGGGAGTCAAGGACTATGAGAACGCTTATATAAGGATTGCAGAGGGCCAGAACTTAGGTGTATTCCGGCCCCCTATCCATATCCTATTGCCTGTGGATCACGTGTGGAAGACCTCGTCACTCTGCTCTGAATCAAGCACTAACGTCACCATGTCGGGCACTCAGGTAAAGCCAAAGTCCTGGGCAGGGCCTATGTTAGAAGTGAAGTCTATCTAATACAACTCTAACATAGACAGGAAATTGATTGATCACCATAAAGTCCTTTGAAAGCAACGCTGTGTTGGCTTGTCTTCCCACGACGGCACGTCCTTAAAGCTGCTAAGACGGCCATTTAGGTCTATTACAGACAAGCCATACCAGCGAGAACCGTCCAATTGGGGGCATGCAGGCAGGAGGTTCGGCCGCACGGCAATGTCAGGTGTCCTGGGACAAGTGGGGATACATAATGTCCAATTGATTCCCAAGAAAGAAAGAAAGCCTCTTGCTAATAAGTACATCTTTGACGCTTCCAGTGAAGATGCACAAGAAAGGAACGAAAGGTATCGATTTGATCTAAATGGCGGTGCATACCGATACCTCATTCTAACTCACAATCGCCATCGTGCGCCCACCCCCGTCTTGAGTCAATGCCGTGATATCCCCTGTGATCTACCTCGACCGAGCTGTCAAGGCGACGAGGCGATGAGGCCTCCGTTGAACCCGACCCCACCATTTCACACCCTGTGTCCCATCCTTTTATGAGCTGGGTCATCCTAGCCGCCCCATCTATGCACCAGACACCAATCAAGTACCTATATCAACACCACAACACCACCGAGGGCGATTCTGGCAGTTACCGAGTTTGGCTCTTGTAGGTAGCGCTCCATAGATGCACTGTTGGGGGGAGCCTCTTGGGCAACCTGGGCGTCAGCCACACCTTGGCTGCATCACGGGTTGTAAGAGAGGGAGCCCAGCCTTTCCCCGACACGCGAGAAGGGGACTTACCCACTCACGGCGTCGAGGTTGAGTTCGTTGTGGCTGGAGGCCTTGTGCGAGGACTTGCGCGGAACCTTGTGCGGCATTTTGAAAGTAGAAAATGGGTGTATGTGTGGGCGTGGTGGTCTGTCGGGGAGGATGCCTGTGCAAAAGCTGCCGGCTCTGATGGTGATGCTCGTGAAGATGGTGATGATGATGGTTTATGATCAGGAGAGAAACCGAACATGACACTGGACACCATGATCATTTTCTTTTATGCCTGATTATGAGGTCCATTTGATCTTTTGAAGGCGGTTTTGCAAAGTCATTGAAGCACAATGAGATTTGCGATCGTGGGAATGGCACCATGGCAGCGTGTTGCAAAGCTAGTCGAGTACTAGTGCCGGGCCGAGGAAAAGACAGCACAGCAAAAGGCAGCACTATTATGCCACGCCGATGTTTTGCGAGTCTCCCACAACTCTTTGCCAGATTCGCACCTCCTGCAAAACATAAGTCTTGGCTCTGCAGGTCTAGCAGGATGTGTACCAGATCTCACTGATTGTGCAGCAAGACAGCCTGGGCCTGTTGGCCCGGCTCCTCCGCCCGGTCTATCGCGCATTTCATGCAGCCTGGCACAGAATGGTGCGCGAAGCACCTCTGGCTCTTCTTGATGGCGCGTGTCTTCATTTATCTTCCGCGTCTTGTCTTCACTAAGTTGTCAACCTTCACATCCATCAATTTCAGGGCGCCACAAACCTCCTGTTGTCAGACAACCATTAGCGCTCACCGAATCAATTAAGTATAATAACACATCTGGCAAGCTAAAAATATCAGTGAGCTCTAGCGTGTACGTTCCTTTTTCATGGCTCTTCACTTACACTCTTACAGTCACCTTGCACAGAGGTCTGCCATGATGGACACCGCCACCAGTCC